TGGGTATGTGGATGGATGGATGGATGGGTAGGTGGATGGATGGGTGGCTGGGTGGATAGATGGATGGATGAATGGGTGGGTGGATGAATGGGTGGGTATGTGGTTGGATGGATGGGTAGATAGGTGGGTGGTGGGATGGATGCGTGTTTACTATACATAGTTCTTGATGGCAGGTCCTCTACATGCTTCCTTGCTTCTAAACCATACATTTCTTACCTTTTTATCATTTCTTGTTATTTCTTCATTCCCCCTTATTGTATCTTAGTCTTGACAGTGTCAATCAGAGGCTTTGGGTGTGGGAAGATTTCTTTATAGACACTTAATGAGCACTGACTGTGTGCTGAACACAGAGATAGGCTTGATTTTTTTTAAAGTGGAATGACAGGGTCCTTGCTCTTGTGCAGTTTATGATCCAGCTGGGATAGAGAGACACATTAAATTTGGCTGGAACAAAATACCAGAGGTATGGGCGCCTGGGTGGCTCAGTTGGTTAAGCGACTGCCTTCAGCTCGGGTCATGATCCTGGAGTCCCGGGATCGAGTCCCGCATCGGGCTCCCTGCTCGGCGGGGGGTCTGCTTCTCCCTCTGACCCTCTTCCCTCTCGTGCTCTCTGTCTCTCATTCTCTCTCTCTCAAATAAATAAATAAAATCTTAAAAAAAAAAAGAAAACCAGAGGTATAATGGTGGTGCTGAGTGTTGAGCTTTAGGGAAACTCCTGGAAGTTTGGGAGGAGGGTCTGAGGAGGTTTATTATAGGTACATTCCTATATGTGCTTCATAGAGTGGAGCTATGTCTTAAAGGCACCTAGGGGTTGGACTGGGTGATGTTTCCAGCAAAGGCAAGACACAACCTTCATTGCCGGGAGCCAACTGTAAGGAGTTTGCTATGGGCTGGGGCACAGAGCTGTAACTTCCTCCCACAGGACAGAAGCTGCCCTTGCATACAATGATGACCATTTATAGCTTGGGGATTCTCCTTCAGATCCTGACTTAGGATGGCATTGGCACCCTCTTGTGTGAGTAAGGAGTAGTGATGAAGCTCTTACTGAGGACCCTGGGGTCTGGGCAGCCTCTGGATGTGGCTCTTGACCATGATTTAATGCAAACGTTTGTTTGTTGGACATCTGAGTCTTCTTGAACATCATCTAAAAGGACTTAAAGCTCTCTCACCTTATTTAGACATTCTTGCTTCTTCAGAAACTATTGATTTTACTCTAACCATTTAAAGAATTATAACTTGCATTTATATTATGGCACTACATTTTTTTTGTAATGCTGGGGCCAAAAGCTACAGTAAACTAATTTTTAGTTGTAAACTAATTAGTAAACTAATTTTTAATTGCTTTGGGTATCAGTAATCCCTCGTAAACACATACACAGCTGAATCTTCAAAGACTGAGCAAAAGGAGCCTTAATGAAAACCCAAGCCTTCAAGCACAGATAGCATTTGAGAAAAGGGTCTTTGTGGCCTCAAAGAACATTTTGAAACTCTCGCAGTAGTTTGCTCCTTCACTCCCAACACAAACAAGATGGATGATCCTTGACATTTTGTGGAGCGAATTTCCCTTCAAAGTCGGGAGGCCTTCCAGGATAGACCCCATTTCTTTTTATCTCTATAATATTACCACCTCACTTGATCCCTAACTCATAAACATAGACACTAATTTTTCATTCTAGCCCTTCCTTAAGTAGCTTTGAGGCGTTGCAGTACCAGGGATTCCAAACGAATGCCCAACATTTCTAAAACCTTCAGAGAAATTAAACATTTATCCTTGATAAAATTGCAGAGGCCGAAGAGCTTCATTTTTGACTGGGATTAAATCCGCCCCATGGTTGAAAGAGCAAGGGCATGTCTTGTGCTGCTGGCAAACCCTCCTTGGCAGTTGCACATGTCAATTATTAGAAAAGATAGGGAAATTCATCATTAGTTAAGTATAGCTTATTTAGATGAGTAAAATTTTCTAAAACATGGGGTTCATAGGAAGTTAATTATAAAATTTCTTTTTTAAAAAAATTTTATTTGAGAGAGAGAGCATAAGCCGGGGGGGGGGACGGGCAGAGGGGGAGAAGCAGATTTTCGCTGAGCAGAGAGCCTGATGTGTGGCTTGATCCCCGACCCCAAGCTCATGACCTGAGCCAAAAGCAGGTGGTTAGTCAACTGCACCACCTAGGTGCCCCGGTTATAAAATAATTTCTTGATACTCAAATAGAGGATCTCTAAAGACTTTTCGGATTCACTGATTTTAGCTTTAATTTTTCAGTTTTCATTTTTAGTGAGGAAAAAAGAGAAAGTACCAAAAGGGTGTTGTAAACAGTTCCTTTTTAAAGTCTTTTAAGGGTGCCTGGGTGGCTCAGTTTGTTAAGCAACTGCCTTTGGCTCAGGTCATGATCCCGGGGTCCTGGGATTGAGCCCCGCATCGGGCTCCCTGCTCCACAGGAAGCCTACTTCTCCCTCTCCTGCACCCCTGCTTGTGCTCTCTCTCTCTCTTTCTCTCTGACAAATAAATAAAATATTTTAAAAAAAAGTCTTTTAAAAATTCCTTTGATTTTTTTCACTATCCATGCTCCAGCACTGCCTTTTGCCCTCAAATGGACTGCCAATCCTGAGTTTTTCCCTTGCCTGTTCTGTGACCTTCCAGGTATGATTGACAACCTGCTCTCCCCAAATCTCATCGATGGTGCGCTCACCAGACTGGTCCTGGTCAATGCCGTGTATTTTAAGGGTTTGTGGAAATCACGGTTCCAACCCGAGAACACAAAGAAACGTACGTTTGTGGCAGCCGATGGGAAGTCCTATCAAGTGCCCATGCTCGCCCAGCTCTCCGTGTTCCGATGCGGTAAGTATCCACGTGGCCACGCCCCACCAGCGCCCTCACTTTGTCCAAGAACAGCTCTGACTTTGATTTTTTTTAAAAAGGGCAGGGGAATGGAGGGCAGGATTGTTTTAAAGTCCATGGTAAAGTTTTGTATTCTTTACAAAGGTTATGTATTAATACAGCATATAGGCTTTTAGGCAGAAAATTTAAAAAGCAAGGACAGCTCACAAAATATGAAATATAAATAGGCTTTAAGCCTATGAAAGCATTATCAGGTCATCATAAAAGTAAAAATTTGATTCTTTTCCACTTACCAGAGCTACAAACCTTACAAAGATTGACAGAGCCCAGTCGTGGCTCTGGTTGGTGGTTGGGCAGGGAGGATCATGGTGGCTGGACGGAGCTGTGGGATGGGGGACTTCCTCGGAGCCCATGTAGTGATCCCACACCAAGGAATGTAAACTCTGAAGATCATCTCACCCTAGCAAATAAATCAAAGCCAGATACATACGTATAGTGGAACATATGGGATAAATAGATTTAGATTTACATAAGTAGAGAGATGATACAATATAGGGTTGATTTCAGAAAACAAGTTCTAGAACAGCAGATGCTGATTCATCTCATTTACGTAAAATACTTTCTATATATTCCTCCATCTGTGGAGACACATCTTGGAGGATATTCAATAAAATGTGAACGGTGGTAGTATTTCAAGTGATTATTTTTCTTTATTTGAATCTGCAAATTTTTGAAACAAGCACGTGTCAATTTTACGATCCAGAAAACGATGACCAACCCCTGCTGTCATTGCCACAGCATTGATAAACGAAGCCTGGTGATTCTTTTTTTTAAGCCTGGTTTCATCGAAGCAGTTGTCATCCAATTTAAATTGATGCTTTTCCTCTGCAAGTTAGCCTTTGTGTCTCCGATCTGTACCTAGACACATGGGCCCCGAGTACTACCTTGGCATATTCAGTCTGTGTGAGCTCAGTGCTGCTCAGTGTTTCCCCAGCTGCGTGATTCTCTAAGCGAAGGAATGGTTCAGGCCAGGGCTGCAATAAACAAAGTCACTTTCCTTCTTGCTTCTTGTTCATCAAGCTTCTAGGTAAAATTTTGTCATTCCCTCAAATGTTTCTTTACAAGATAATATGTATTTAAAAGCCCTGCAGAAAGATAATGTGCTCAGCAACTGAGAATAATAAAAGCTCCTTTTGCCCAAAAGTCATCCCCTGTTTCCCATGGTAGCCCAGCCCTCCCTACTCCCCGCTGGTGTTGCCAGGAAGACCTCACTGGAACGCCAGCAAAGCCACCAGCTCGTATCTGAAGCAAAGCCCTTTTATTTTAGGTCAATCTTTATACACATTCTCTGTTCTAATAAAACAACTAAAAGTGAAGGGCCTTCAGTGATTTTATGTTTCTGTTGCTGGAAAATAAATGTCAGTAGTGAAAGATTAAAATGCAAGGATCCTGTAGACATTCCTATGAAACACGAATATGTTTGTTTTTACAGGAATGGAACATCTTTTCTGGATTATAGAGTATGTTCCTAGAGAAGGAGTTCCATATCCGGGTAGCTTTTCCATTGAGAACCGGTTTGTCTAAGAGTGTATGTGTGTGTGTTACAGAAAGTAATGCACAAATGCATTCTTGTTGTCAAGGATTCTAACCGCGTAGAACCACAGTAAGCTGGATGCCTTCCCTCCATCTTCCCTGAGTCATGCCTTCCCTTCTCCATCCTCTTTCCCCCTGTTCTGAGGCCTCAGGAGTCTGCATCGGGGCTCCCCGCCTCCCGTTGAGTTGGCTGTGGGGTGAACTAGCAGGTGATAGGACTGCGGGAGGCGAGGGTTTGGGGCACTGACTTCCAGGCCCTCCCTGTGGTCCCCAGGGCTGCCGCATCCCGGTGAAAAGGGTCTCCCCTCCTGAGCAGGTGTGGCCAAGAGCACTTTCTCTCTGGGTCACCATGCCGCCCTCCCTGCTCCCAGCCTACATTTGATAATGTTTGTAGCCCAAGGTACTCTCCTGAATGGCTTCTCTGTTCTCTAGCCATGCTTTATAAGAACTCTCATCATTAAGCTCCTTTTCAGTGACCCAGTGATCCTGTCTCTTCCTATCGGACCCTTACTGGTCTGCACTGAATTCAGAACAGAAGGAACCCCCAGCTCTCCGCTGTTCTCGTTCCCTCACGGTAAACACAGTGGACAGCCACTGTCCTTGCCCTCCTCCCTGCGCCTTTCACGGGGGTTGACTGAGTAACCCATTCGCTTCCTGGGCTGGGCCACAGAGCTCACGGGGGTCCCACGTTCCCTGGTTTCCCTCTTGGGCCAGCACAGCAGCTTCTCACAGTGAGACAGGGCACATCTGTCTTGTTGCATCTGTGAGGACAGCATAGCAGCTATTTGTTTTCGTGACCACAGACTGCTTAGCTGGTCACCCCCTCGCTGCCTGTTGCCAGTCTGGCCAGCACGACCAGCCAGCGCTCAGAGATGGGCCATTGCTGCTGAACTCAGAGTCCACCCTGCCCACTCACACGACCTCAGCAGCAACCCCCCCCCCCCCCCCCCCCATCGCAGGTGTTCTGGGCCTCACCATGCCCCCTCAGCCCCTTTGTAGAAACATTGCATTCCTTGTATCTGTCTTCCAGACCATCCCCCCCAAGACGCTGTCAAGACCTTGGAGAAGATTCACTTAGTAACGTTAAGAAGAGAGGGTGTTAAATGAAAGAGCAGGGGAAAACCCTTCTGACTATGTCCCATAAACTAGAAGCACTTTGAGGATAGAAATTCTTCTAATTAATTAAAAAAAAAAGGACTTGAAATTTTTTTTTTTAGAAGTGTATTTCTTTTTTTTTTTTTTTTAAGATTTTTTTTATTCATGAGAGACAGAGAGAGAGAGGCAGAGGCAGAGGGAGAAGCAGGCTACCCAAGGAGCAGGGAGCCCAATGCGGGACTCGATCCTAGAACCCTGGGATCAAAACCTGAGCCGAGGGCAGATGCCCAACTGACTGAGCCACCCAGGCGCCCAGAAGTGTATTTCATGCCCATTGCAAAATCTACAAATAAAACATTGTAATGAGGCAGAAAGTAAATGTTCTCCTATAACTCCATTTCCTAGCATAAGAACCCCTATTTAAGTGGTAGGTATATAATTTGAGACCTTTTCTATGGGTATATGTCTGTGAATATGTCTGTGAATATGTCTGTGAAACTTTTTTGCATACATAGGATTGCCCTGTAATTTCTATTCTGTAATCTGCTGTATACATTAGATAGTGTATTGTGGAAAACTTTGTTAATCCATGTGGATTTATTTCATCCTTTTATCAGCTGTACAACATTCCATGGCATAATGTATTATAATATCCTATGGATATTGTTATTATATATATTATTACATTTTTCCTGTAATAAACACTTCAGCGAGCATTCTTGTACATAAATCTTTAGAAACTCAGAATTTATAAAGGTACTTTCATTGGATAGGAATTGCTGAGTCCAAAGTTGTTATAATTTTTTTGATTTTATGGTTATGAGTTTAGGCATAAAACACTTTATTTTGAAAGAAGACCACAAAGAATTCCAAATATATGTATATATGTAGGTATATATAAATATATATATGAATATACAGTATATTTCAAGCTTCCACTCTCCTCTGAGCTTCCAACTCATACCTACCTATCCAAATTACCTCTCTACTTGGTTGTCTATTAAGTTTTAGTTCCATAGATGAAATATATTATTGTCCTCACCCATCTGGTTCTCCCGCCATGTTCCTTAGCTCAACAAATGGCACCTATCCGCACCCAGTTGCTTAAACCACACCTTCTTCCCCTTCAGCTCTCCCCAGACCCCCTTTGCATTTCAGCTAGAATATGGACCACCACTACATGCACTGGATCTGGTTTTTGTTTTCAAATCTGTATTTCAATTTCTTCTGAAGTATAGCTGAAACAATTCTCCAGGAGCCCAGGAAATCCATAAAACTACTTGTAGTAGAAGGTAATTGGAGGGGTTTTCATCTGTAAAGGTTTCCTGATGTTCAATATTTAAAATATTCTTTCTGATTTTAGGGGCCAAGAGGAGTTCTTAACATTTTAATGAGTCTAGTTACTTCCTCCCTTGTAGAATTTAAAGAAGGGGTCAGAGTCTTTAGGGGGCTTTCCAGAAAATTTGGATCATCCTCAAAGTACCACTTACAGAAAGTTCTAAATCTTCTCCATGTTTTTAATACTTGGTTCTTTGCCTGTTACTTCTCATTAAAGGTTTTGTTGATCCCCCTTCATCCAAGAGAAAAGATTTCTCTTCCCTTCTAATCTATTTCCTACTTTCCAGCATGAATGAATCCTGCTTCATTCACATTTTTCTATACTCCAGCATCAATGCTCATTAAAGAACACTCCGTCTACGTCCCAGATGTTGAAGCGTGGAGAACCTGGGCGGGACCTTTTAACGGAAAGGTATCTGGGTCAAAGACAGGCTCCCTGCTCTGACACAAGGCTCCAGATCCCCATCCTTGCTTGATTCATTCTGCCCTGGAGCTGTGCCCATTGCAGCAGCTGTGGTTTCTCTTGGTGGATTGAGGCTGCATTTCAACTTTTTGAGCAGTGACCGAGCACTCAAGAAAAAACGCATTTTGCAAAGCTTCTTCCATCAGTAGATGAAAGTTTTTACTATGTGCAAACCTCTGTGCTGAGCACTGTACTGCTTGTATTGTCTCATTGAATTTTCACAGCAACCCTGTAAGCCAGGCACTGTTACCCCATTTTATAGATGAAGAAACTAAGACTTGGAGTTAAGCCACTTGCCCAAGACCCAGAGCTAGTGCGTCAGAAGAGGCAGGATTTGAACCCAGATTCTAGAACTCCAGATCTAGTGTGTTCAACCTCAGCCTTTGTCCTCTGTGAGAAGACACTGAGAAAAGCAGCCCTTTAGTGATCAGGTTAGGAGAGGAGGAGGGGGTGTGTACAGAGGCATCCTAGCCAACATTTGCCATCAGATCCTGTGATCAGAAGCAGAAGTGGGGCCAGGGAGAAACGAATCATCGGGCAAATGTGAGTGGGTACAAAATACTTAGTGGTTATTCATATTACTGATCAGTTAATGGTGTATCCAGTGGAGGGTGCCTGGGTGGCTCAGTCAGTTAAGTGGGTGCCTTCAGCTCTGGTCATGATCCCAGGGTCCTGGGATTGAGCCCCACATCGGGCTCCCTGCTCAGCAGGGAGTCTGCTTCTCTATCTGCCCCTTTCCCCTGCTCGTGATCTCTCTCTCTCAAATAAATAAAAATCTTAAAAAAAAAAAATGATGTATTCAGTGGAGGCTGGATTCACTGGTGGAGGTAGAAGCTGTCTCCCCAACTGGGAAACACACCCCAGCTCGTAATTTTTCATTATTCATGACCCTGATTCTTCTTATCACAACAGTAAATGTTTCTAGAAGTGGTTAACAGATGCCTCCAGGTCCTTATTTCATGCCCTGGAGCAAATCATTAATTAACCTCTTCCCAAACCACACAGTTTCTAGAACAGCGCTGCCAGGGTTGGGGCCTCCTATTTTCTTTGAAGATTAAAGGGCTCATTAGGAAGTGGTATTTTTTCTGACTCTCCCATTGGTTTTTCAGTTTCTGCCCAGGCCATTTTATTACACAAGGTAAAAGGAAACTTAAAGAGTCCCGTCTTTGATTCTCAGGCAGCCCCAGGACAGAAGCGACCTTGAGTGACAGTCTCTAGGCATCTGGAGCCAGGCTGGGTGGCTCAGGGTTACTGAGCGGCCCCTCAGGCAAATGCAGCAGGATGGGAACGGGATATACTGAGCACCCCCCAAATTGCCCACAGTTTGCTTCCTGAAGGAGAAACTCAAATGTCATCCTGTCATGTCACATATTCTAATAGCGTTGCTATTCTTTATCATATTTTATAGCTAAAAGTGTTCGTTATGTAACAAAGACAAAGAAAGTTCACAGTCTCTCTCCCTCTCTGCCTCCCTGCCAACCCCCCACCCGTGGAGAACTGGCTTATTGAAGTTCCCTGTCTAACATGCGATGACTGGCAGAGGTCGTCCCCGGAGAAAAGACAAGTGAAAACCATGAGAGAAACTCGCTTTCTCTTCTCTCTTTTTCTTAAATGCATTGTTCTTCTGGGTCGTCTAGAGCAGGGGGAGGAGGTGGAAGGGGCCAGGCCCTGCTAAGCGCCTTACATATTTTTCTCATTTAATCGTCACAGTGACCCTGTGAGGGGCGTCCTTTTAATGTCCCTGACGTCTCCACTCTCCGTAGTAAGAGGCACGCAGAGGCTAAGTGCCTCACCAACATCACTGTGTTCTTAAAAAGTCTGAAGTGCTTAATAAACCATTTCAGAGATCCGCCAGATCTAGAAATGCTGGCTTTCCATTTGCATAGTCAGTTTTAATAAGTCTCTCATTACATGCCTAATGTAAAGGTCTCACGGGATCCTAAGGCACGCTCCGTGGAAGACTCTTTCCCGGGGAGCCAGGGGCCTCCTTGGGCCCCATACCCCTGAGCTGCTCCTCCGGCTGGGGCCTTCATGAGCACACTAGCACCAGCTCTGACCAGTAGCACACAGTTGTGCTGCTCAGCTGCTGAATGTTTTGAATGTTTTACATGGAATAAAAGGGTTCTAGGAGCAAATGAGTTCAGGAAACCTGGGGATAGCTGAACAGCTCTCCTTCAGAACATCTCAGAGCCTATACAGCACTGGTGTATATGATGAAGCTGCAAGAAGAATCAGTCCAGTGCTTCCTAAACTAACTGGGATATGGAATCTCTTTGTCTACTGGGCGACATACAGGTTGTGTGTTCCCCAGACCGCCATTTTGAGAAGTGCTGGTCTAAATTGTTTTCAGGTTTCCATTAGTAAGTACAAATATCATAAGGTATCTAAAAGCTGTAAGGACAGTTACTGGAATGGGTGAAGAGTGAGTAGGGAGTCGGGGTAGTGGAGAAGGAAGGTCATCGTTGGCATTAGACGTATTGAGTCTGAGTCCTGGCGTTCCACTTCTTTAGCCCACGTGTCCCTTGGCAAGTTACTTAATTTCTCTAATTGTAGCCTCCCCAGCTATGAAATAGGGCTGCTTGTACTACCTCATGGGGCGCTGTAGCTTCTAAATGTGTTGAAGTGGTTGGCAGGGGACCTAAACAATGGAGCTGTTCATCCCGTTCTCCTTTCTCTTCACATGCTCACATAGGCTCAGCCAAAAGAACCATTCTCAGGCAGTTCAAATTCATTCCTTTATTCACATGATAAGGGTCAGCTTCTTGCAAAGCACTGTATTCTAAGTGCCTCATGATCTAGTTCAATTCAACTCAACAGAATTAATGTTATTTTAGTGACGCCCAAAGGCATTATGTTAAGACATGTCAAAATTGAAGAAAGATAATTCTTTACCAGGGAAAGAAGAAACAAGTGTCTCTTTATCCTCCTAAGGAAACTATATTTGGAAAAGAGAAGTTTTTAAACTGAACCGCCGTCTTCCCTCTGAAGCTACCCATATGATCAGCAAACACTCATGCCACTTCTAGAAGTCATCAGGGATACACTGAACCTGCCTCTGATTTCTTTAGGGTCTACAAGCACCCCCAACGATTTATGGTACAACTTCATTGAACTGCCCTACCACGGGGAAAGCATCAGCATGCTGATTGCCTTGCCAACCGAGAGCTCCACCCCGTTGTCGGCCATCATCCCTCACATCAGCACCAAGACCATAGACAGCTGGATGAGCACCATGGTGCCCAAGAGGGTACAGGTCATCTTGCCCAAGTAAGTGGTCCCTCTCCCTGAAGAGGAAATAGTGGGAGTGCTCAGTCCCTGGTAGCAATACCAGACAGCATGAGGCTAGGAAAGGCACAACCTAAATCCTAGAGCCTGATTTACTTTCCAGAAATTGCATGGTGGGAATACAAGGCTCTGCTTTTGTAGAAACTTCCCCCCAACCCCCCAACTCCTGTGCCTCTCATGCAGCAGGAGAATGATAATGGGGAGGGCAGGAAAGAAGGCCTGGCTTCTGAGTCTCCACAAGACCTCAAGCTCCTTATACCATTTTGAGGGCTTTTAACATATTTAATTTTCTTCAAAAGACTGAAAAACACATGTATAACTGTATAGTAAAGGTTAGTCATGTTTCTGGTATTTTGATAAGGAGTTTCATTTTAGTCTTCTTAAGTTTTAGCTGGAAGTTCCTGAAGACCAAGGTCCAAAAGCTAGGTGGTAAGGAAATATTTTGAAACCATCCAGGCAGAATTCTTACATTAGTATCATACTATGGCAGTTCTTTATTGCACCCTAAAAGTATAATGTTGGTGGAATTTGAACTGTTATGACTTGAAACCAAGGGGAAAATAATCCCAAATTCTGCCTGAATCCTAAATTTCTAACAGTTCAGAGGATGCTTTATACCCAGACCCGTGAAAGAGGCAGTAAATGTCCCCCATCTGTGATCGTGTCGCCAGTACCCAGAGCTTTAAACCAGCCACATCTCAGGGTGGGAAAGATACCTTCCAGTTCTAATAGCTCTTAATTCTCCAGTCACTAAGTTAAGTATAATCCGATGAATCCATTCATAATAAGTATTGGTATCCTCCCAAGATTTTTTTTATTGTGAAGTGAGCTTTCATGTAGGCAGTGCTTGATATAAATGAAGAAGATGGTAGGTTGACATTATAGGTAAAGCGCAATTATAACAGTAAAATCATCAGAGCCCATCTGTGATGAAAATCTGCTCACTACCCTGATCGCTCTTCCACCAAATGGGAGAAAGCCTGGTAAAACATCCTCTGATGATAGGTTTAATAGCTGACATTTACATAAGTGTGGCTCTAAGGCCAGGTAAGTCACAAGTATCCAAGAAACTCTTGTGACACCCAAATAGAATGGATGCATTGTCACCAATTCCTAATGTTGGTTCCCATTTTCATAGTAAAATGCTTTCAAAATCCCAACAAGAAGGAGCAGGAATGTGTCTCCTCTCTTTTGACCATCCCCAATATGGCAGCCACCGTGATGTTTGGTTGGTTAGAAATGGGGAAGAACTGTAGATATTCCAGTCACTGTTCCAGATATACCCCCATCAGCGAGAGGGAAAGTGTTTCTGCAGATCTCCCTAAGAATTGGAAAGGGGAGCCTGTAGCACATGACAGGGAGGCCACCCTTGTTTGCTGCGACAGTGTACTGCTCATTTTGCCAGCTAAGTGTTTGAGAGATGAGTTGTTCTCTACTTAGATCTTGGAACTACAATTTCAGATACAATGTAGATTGGTGTTTGGAGCATACTTAAAAAGGAATCAGTTTATCAACACTTCCCCACCGGCACTGATTATATCATTTTACATTGCTTATGGTATAATGATTTTCCCTTATCTTCTCCTTTCCTGCTAGGTTCACAGCCGTAGCACAAACAGACCTGAAGGAGCCCCTGAAAGCTCTTGGCATCACTGAGATGTTTGATCCATCAAAAGCAAATTTTGCAAAAATAACAAGTATGTTCAATTTAAAACTTAGTCTTAAACTTGAAGACTGTGTTACAAACTGGGTCTCTGATTTGTTCAGAAAGAAAAGATCAGGGGTGCTTGGATGGCTCAGTCCATCAAGCGTCCAGCTCTTGATTTCCACTCAGATCATGATCTCAGGGTCGTGGGATCGAGCCCCACAGCAGGCACTGCACTTAGCGGGGAGTCTATTTAAGCTTATCGCGCTCTCTCTCTCTCTCTCTCTCCCTCCCTCTGCCCCTCCCCCTGCTCTCTTTCTCTCTCTCAAATAAATAAATCAATCTTTAAAATTAAAAGAAAGAGTGAAAGAAAAGATCAAGATTAGGAGTATGCTGCCCTGAAACTCTCCAAGATTTAACCTGATTTATCACCAAATGATGCTGTTTATCCTCAATCATCTAAATTAGCAGAAATCATTCATTCCTGTGTTTCACGTGTACATTTCATGTGAGGCCCAAGTGACTCTACAGTTAAAGAAGACCTTCGTGTATCGTCTTTATTACTTACGAATTTAGCTCCTTAAGTAGTCTTTCTTTTTCAAACGCAAACTATTCCCCCTGTGTTTGAAGAATCAAGATTTTTAAACTCTCAGACACTTGCTTCCATTAAGCAATAGGCATGCACCATATCCAGATACGTATTTTGGCATTTAATGCCCATTAATCCGAAATAGTATAAATTTGGAGGGCTCTGATTGGAACCTTTCTTTGCCAAAGCATCTAGGACGCAGCTGGTATCCTATTGCTTCATTTGCCAATATATGTACCTTTTCCTAGAGTTATATTCCTGGTGAATATAACTCAGTTCTTGGTCCTTTTAATTTGGAGCACAGCAACCTCCTTCCAAAGAAAAGTCATGGCTTAAACATTATTTGTACTCCTTTTGTGTTTTTCCCCTTGAAATTCATTGCTGACCTCAATGGCCTGCAGGTAAACACCTGTGTTCCCGTCCTTGGGCTACACACGGCATCCCTGGTGAACTTGCAGCTGTAGGGATATTCTGACGCTCTTTCATTCTTGGATAACCAAACTCATCCCCAGTCCAGCAGCCTGAGCATCACCTGGGAGCTTGTTTGAAGGGCACAATCTTGGGTCTCACTCAGACCTACTGAATCAGAATCATTTTAGCAGGATTCCTCGGCCCAGTGACGTTAGAGAGCATGGTTTCAACCTGCATGTTCCCCTCCAAGGTTCTCTTCTGTGGCCCACCTCCTACACCGTGGCCCACCTCCTACACCGTGGCCACAGGAAGTTCAGAGGTGCTCAGAAGGAGGACCAGGTGTCTGAAATTCTCCTGAGATCTTATGCTTAACCTTCCAGTGACTTGCACCCTGCAGACATCCCTCTCATTCCCCATTGGTCATATTAGAGCCCAGCATCTGTGCTGTTGAAAACCCACTTTTCCCCCTTTGCTTCCAGATCTATGTCCCATCAAAGCTATCATTAACTTTTATTTGCATTCTCCTCCAATGCCGAGGCCAGTGGGTATTGCTGGAGTGATAAGGCTTTGCTGAGAAGGAAAGTGAATTCACTAGAAGGTTCCAGAGGCACAATTGCCTTTCTGAGTCTTGTTCTAAACCCTTCTTACATTCAACAGTCTTCTCATTAATACGGACTTGAGATGACTGGCTTTTGTTGTGAAAAGCCACTAACCAGCCATATGACCTGAGGGCAGATTTCTTAACCCTCTGGGCCTCAGTTTCCCCATCCGTAAAGACCATCTGAAATGGCCTTTCTGGATCTGACATTCTGTCCTTTACAAATAATATTACTGCCTTACTTCTTCTGGAAAACTGGACTTCCTTTTTAAAGCTCTGCTCTTTTTATTTTTTTTATGCAATGCTGAGTGATCAGAGTTGAATTGATAGAGGTACTGACACATTCAGGGTCGGTGAATCCCTCCTCAGAAGTGATATCGCAGTTCGCTTAGCAGAGACTGAAATTCACGGCAGGTGACCGTCACCCTACAGCCTTCAATCACCAGACTGTAAGAGGTCACTTCTCCTGACACCTTTTAAGAACTGGAATTTGCCATGGATTTGAAGTTACTTCCCCAGCCAAATGGATGACCTGTGTATCAAACAAATGCTGTGTTTGTTTTATTTTCTGGAAACAGGGTCAGAAAACCTGCATGTTTCTCACATCTTGCAGAAAGCAAAAATTGAAGTAAGCGAAGATGGAACCAAAGCTTCAGCAGCAACAAGTAAGAACTGGGTCAGGAGCCAGGATGGACTGTGATGTAGGGGCATGAGCATGCTGTCGCCCACCCAGCCACTTACCCAATATGTAGCGAACCCGGTTCCCCCCGCTCCCAGCACTGTGTGTGGGTTGCCCCCCCAGGTGACAGGGGTGAATTTAGACAGAGTGAGGACCTGCCTCCTCAAGGCTCAGAGTCTTGTTTCATTAAGGAAAGCCCCTCAGTGCAAGACATTCCAGGACAAGAGTCGGTAAGCTTTCTCTGTAAAGAGCTCGATAGGGTGTATTTTCTGCTTTGTGGGTGGTACTGCCTCCACCGCAGCTTCTCAACTCCGCCACTGTGACGGGAAAGCCGCATAGCTGATAGGAGCCAGTGGGTGTGGCTGTGTTCCAATAAAGCTTTATTTATAAAAGCAGGATCTGACCCCCTCAGAGTTGGCCCGAGGGCAGGGGTTTGCTGACCCCTGCCCTCAGAAGGTTAAAGCATATTCTGGCTTCTTCTTGGCAGAAAAGCCCAATCTTCATATTGAAACCTTAAATAATAGCAGCTACCAATAGGAACTAGACCGGTGAGGTCTATCCGAGACGAAGTGGAGAAGGAGCGAGCAGCTGTTGCATTACAGCGGATTGCTGGGCCACCTCCTTCGATAAGTAGAACATCCACATTTGCTTTCTCCTCATGGTTTAATAACGAAGGAGAAAATAGAACAATCTTGGGTTGGTTTTCATACCCCCTAATTATCCACCTGAGATTGCGTGGATAGATCTGGCCAAACTCTGAACTCATAAAGGGAATATCCCAGTTCTGCTTATACCTGAGTCACATATTTCTGGTCATTAAAAGGTACCATTTATGCTCCAAAAAGACACTTTATGGCCTTTCTAGAATAAACATTTAATTTGTAATCCTTTAACATAGCATTAAAAACAAAAGCCTAGAATACGAGTGCTTCAAATTTTTCAGATGCTTTTTATCTCTTCTAGGTAATTGTAAGTGAGAGCTGAATTTTGCCGGTTATTGACCAATTGTGCCAATTAGTGTAACTATCGAGACTGGCTCCATAATTTGCGGGGCCCTGTGCAAAATGTAGAGGTGGAGCCCTCAATGAACACTTACTGAGAATTTGAAGACAGCAGCAGCAGAGCACCGAACCGAGTGTAGGGCTCTCGGGAGTGTGACTGCTAGGCCACACGCCCAGGAAGCCAGCCCTGCTGGCTCAGATACCAGGACTGCTATAGCTCGGGGCCACAGATGGGGGGGGGCGCTGATGCAGCAGCAGTTTATGTCTCACAGTTCTGGAGGCTGGGCGGCCAAGATCAAGGGCTGGTTTCTCCTGAGGCCTTTCTCCGTGGCTTGCCGAGGGCTGCTTTCTCCCTGTGTCCTCACGTGGCCTTTGCGCTGGGCACACACATCCCTCGTGTCTCCCTCTCTTCTCATAAGGACACCAGTCCTATTGGATCAGGGCCCTGCCTTCGTGACCTCATTCAAACTTAAATACCTTGGGGGTTGGGGCTTCAACATAGGGATTTTGGGGTGGTACAGTTCAGTCCACAAGCCCTGCTAACTCTTGATTGCTTTTCAGTAACCCTGGGTTGAGTACTTTACGTCAACATAGCTGCAGATGGTTCCTTTTTGACATCGAGCCTAAGTCATTAGTGCTTCCCAGGGTTTGAGGAAGAGCACTGGGCCATTGCAGCGAGAGTGGTGCCGTTTTATACCCAGCACCCACCCTCCCGCAGGGCCGTGTCACAGGCTTATGAAATTGAAGCCACCAGTGAGGAAGCATGGCAGAGTGATCATGTCTAGGACTGTGGGCTAAGGAAGTTTGCTTTCTGAGTCCAGTGTCTGCACCAGCTAGGTTGAACAGCAGCATGGGGTGGTGGGTCCCAGGTGAGAGGTCTCCGTTGCCATGCACAGGGGACCCACCAGAGGAAAACGCACAGACAAAATGGGTGAAAACTAAGCTGGGCCTTGATATACAGGAAGGATTTGGCTAGGCTAAAAGGACCAGGGGGCCTTCATCAGCAAGGCAGATGGTATGAATAAAAAATAGCTAATAATAACAGTGAATGTGCATTAGGTGTTTGTTAAGTGACAAACACTTTTCTCAGAGTTTATAATATGTTCTATGTCATTGAATCCTCATAAAAACCCTATGGAGTGAGTACATTTATTAAAGAAGATGGTACCTGTGTAGACTGAATGAGACACGGAATGGAAAGGGCCTGGCCTGTGAGAGGGGTTCAGTAAACGGTGGCCACTGGACCTGTTCTAACCTGGCCAGCCCATGGGACGGGCACTGTGTCCTCTAACTCCAGCATCGAAGATCCTTGCTGGCCTCACACTGGGTGTACAACACATTTTCTTTTTCTTCCCGTAGCTGCGATTCTAATTGCAAGGTCATCACCTCCCTGGTTTATAGTAGACAGACCTTTTCTATTTTTCATCCGACATAATCCTACAGGTAAGCGGCTCTTCTCTTCCATTGTTCGCTAGCTGTTAGAATTCAGAAAGGTATATGGAATCATAGTTAAATCCAACCTTGCTTCTCTTAATTCATCTCCCTTGTGTCAACGATGGCAAACACTTTGAATAATAGAACCGCCCACCTTGAAGAGATAGGAAAACTACGGCTGTGTTTACAGGGTGTGATGGAATCTTTTAAACACTGATTTTAGGTTTGCTGGTTGGTTTGTTTTTAACATAGAGCTCTGCAGCCCTTTTGGGGATTTATGATAGCTGTTGATTTTTTTGTCCACATTTTTGTAAATGCAGTGGTTAAATTTTATAAGAAATTACCTGTCCTCAACCTCTGTAAGCCCCCTCTGTTGTTACCGCCGGAGAATTGTTAATTCGATAGATCTTGGCTCCCTAAGTCATGGGTTCAGAGTTGGCTCTGTCCTTTAGCTTCATCTTTAAAATACGGAAAACAGTAGTTCTTACCGCTTAGTACAATTATGAAGAATAAGTCAGATTGTCTTTGTGGAGAGCTTAACTAACACAAGCTTGTTCCTTAACCTTTTGTCTCATTGTAACTCTAATGTCATAATTTGTGTGCTTCTGCACCAAAGTCCAGTATGGGAGCCTCCAGCCACACATGGTTATTTAACCTTAACTTTTAATAATTAAAATGAAATATAACTTAAAATTCAGTTTCTTAGTCAGACTAGCCATGTATCAAGGGCTCAACAGCCCCATGTGACTAGTGGCTACCATATCGGACAATGAAAATATAGACTGTTTCCATCACTGCAGAAAGTTCTATAGGATAGCACTGCTTGAGAACAATAGGTTAATCGCAGCCTAGGGACTATCCCTTAAATATGCTTTATATCTTATTTTAAGAAATGTTTTTTATAGAGTTACACCTTGTTTCCTTCTAATCCTGTAGGTGCTGTCTTATTCATGGGTCAGATATACAAACCCTGAAGAGTGTACAAGAGAAACCATGCAAAGCAAAGGCTCCTTTGCGATGAAAACAAGACTCCTTTCCTACATCTTTCATAGTTCTGTTAAATATTTTTGTACATTACTTTCTTTTTCAAAACTAGTTCTTAGGAACAGAGACTCAGTGATGCAAGCATTTCTGTTCTGGGATATATATCAAAGGGAAAAAGGGGCAGGATGGCTGGAACACTGTACTGATGAATAGAAAGGCTTCAAAATGTCTAAAAAAAATCCTTTAAACTACTGAGCTAACCCTCTTGAGTATTTACTGTCCAGTTCAGGAGTTTTGTTTTGTTTTGTTTACATGTGTGGCATTTCAGAAGAAATTGAATCAGTGTGACGGGGAAAAAAATAAATAAAATAAAAATTAAAAAAAACCCGCAACAACACATTTTATGATAGCTTTTACTTTTTTATGAAAAGAATATTATTGGCCTTTTTAATTCTTTTGTTTGGGTCCCATCCAAAGTCTATCAATTGATAGTAAGTATTATTTCGGGGGTAGAAATAGTGAAATCTCTAGCCTCTTTGAGTGTTTTTGTCGTCGTCGTTTTCTATAATGCATGTATTCACTAAAATAAAGTCTAAAAAACGAATGTCTTGCTAGACAAGGTTTGCTGTTGTGCAGTGTGCCTGTCACTACTGGTCTGTACTCTTTGGATTTGCATTTTTGTATTTTGTACAAAGTAAAAAATAAAGTGTTATGAGTAGTAAAAAAAAAAAAAGCCATTTCTCTGTGATTTGAAAATACAACAAAAGAAACAGAGCCTTTTAAAAATACTTTAACTTCTTCTACTAAACCTTTGCACTCGGGCAAGCAGCAGAAAACCCACGGCCCCTGGCTTTGTCCTCCTGTTTTCCTCTAGTGCTGGCAATCAGACACTGTCTGTTCCCGGCTTCACCACCTCTCAGCTTCTGAGTCCCTGCCTAGGAGGAGAGCAGGCTGCACTGGGGCAATCCCAGCCCTCATATCAGCAGTGGCTCCCTCAGGGCAGGATTCAGAATGTTCCCAGCAAAGAGTAGGGTTTTACAGCAAGTGCACACGGAAGGTGCTGGGTCCTGAGACACTTTGAACTCGGAGTGAACAGCGCATGTTACATTTTTGGTGATCGGCCGGAGTGTTTGTTTCCTGATAGGAAAAGATGTTTTGTTTTGTTTTGTTTTGTTCTGTTTTTGGAGAACTGCTCACAATTCCAAGGTTACCATTTTTTATTTGCCTAGTTTGTTGTCATTGTTGCTTTACTAATTTCCTAACGGTTTGAGTCATCTAATATCAGAATGCTTTAAAATATGTATCAAAACTTAAAAACATTTCTTTTAAGACCCATGAGCTTGACTCGTCATTCTTTATACATTAAAACTTTACATCCAACACTCCAGCAATTTGTCATTTGTGATTCTTATTCGTCAAGTGGGCTGAGCTTTGCTGTTTGCAACTATTTAAGTATGGGTACTCGGGTTAGCCAAGAGAGAAAGGAAGGGGGGCGGGTAATTGCTTTCCTTAATGAAGAGTAAATGCCAGGGTCAACACAGACTACCTGTACTCTAGCAAACATGCTAGTACAGTTATTAATGCCTTTTAGAGGCAGTTTTACTCATTTTCTGGTTTTCTGGTCCCATTCTGTTATATTATTGTTAATAGTTAAAATAGAAATAGTGCTAGCAGTGATCCAAGAATTATACACTCCATTTATTCATTTGTGTACCTACTGGGCACCAAGCATTAAGAGGTTCAGAGATAAATATGTCCTTTCCCCAAGTAAGGTAATCTTGAAAGGGAGAGCGTGAATTCTAGCTTGGCCAAATGTCTACCCTGTGTAAGTGTACTTACAAGATATGCAAGTAGGACCAAGTGGGCATTAGTCCAAGAAAGAAGCCTAAAAGTGGATACAGGGCCAAGACTAGATCCCTGAGCTCTTGGCTCCAGCAGTGCTCATTCCAGAAAAGACCAGGAGAGTTTGCTTTACTTCCCCCCTGCAACCCCGCCAAGTAGGCTCCACACCCATCGTGGAGCCCAGTGCAATCCTCAAACTCATGACCCTGAGATGAAGACCTGAGCTGTAAAGATCAAGAGCCAGACAACCAATGGACTGAGCCACCCAGGCACCCCAAGAGTTTGCTTTTCTAATATCACCTAGTAGAGTGGCCCTGTTACGTATTACAGATAGTCTGCTCCCCCAAAATAGAAATCGGTCACATTTTACTGAGCACATTAAATTTTGAAGTATCTGGTCCCATTTCTGAATATTAGATAGTAAAGTTTCAAATTTATGATATAGAGAACTTGGAAGAATCTCATAGAGGAATCATAGTATCAAGGTTCCTGGACTCTATTTCTTCTCTCTCTTTCACTTGATCTTCCCAGCTCATCTTTAGTGCTTTCTCACCCATCAGCACCCAGATTCTGACCTGACTCTGGTAGCCTCCAGAACTTGTTGATAATCTCTGGACAGGGGGAAAGTTCTTTTCAAATTATTACTGTTATATAATTCAACTTTTATCTTTCAATATACTTCAGTGAGTCAATAGGCCTTGTCTTCAAAAAGATAAAATTTAGAAAAACTCCTTTATTTGAGGGAAACTGAGGTAAATTTAAGATATGGCACTGCCATAAAAAATTGCAGACCTGTCATGAAAGATCACATTTGCTGTGATACTGTGACTTTTTTTTTAATTTTATTTATTTGAGAGTATAAGGGGGGGTACATAGAGGGAGAGGGACAAGCTGACTCCCCACTAAGTGCAGAGCCACACACGGGGCTCAATCCCAGGCCCCTGAGACCATGACCTGAGATGAAGTCAGAGGCTTAACTGAGCTACCCAGGGTGCCCCAATACTGTGATTGATAATAAGAGATATGTATTTGGTTTTCATCCCCATTTCTGGCACAGAGCTCCCCCAACCCTTGGAATTTACAAAGTGATAGAGAGCTTTTATGAAGATCTCTTGCGTTATCTTAATGGAGTAACTTTTGGCCAAACAAGGCAAGCATCCAGAGAGGCTGGGTCATGGAGGGAGCCCTTGAGGTTACAAGGCAACTACCTAATTCCAAGCCCTCACCTCCATAAATGTGCATGTTTCCACAGAAGGCAGACCTGCAGTAATCTGGACTGCCAGCCAGGGCTGGCTCTGGAGGGCCAACCGGGGTATCCTCCAAAGAGAGACACCTGGGAGCCTTGATAACTACAGAATGGAGGCTGGTTGCTAGGAGACCCAACCAGGTGATTGGAGGGCTGAAACTTTCAGCTCCACCCCCACTGACCTCTGGGGAGGGGAGAAGGGCTGGAGGTGGAATCAATGGCCAATGGCCAAATGATTTAATTGACTACGTGTTTGTAATGAAGCCTCCATAAAAATCCAAAGGACAGGTTCAGAGAGCTTCCGGGTCAATGGGGATTTGTGCGAATGGTGCACTAGGATGGCAGGGAACCTCCTCGCCCTTCCCCAGACCCTGCCCTATGCATCTCTTCCATCTAGCTGTTCCTGAGTTATATCCTTTTATAAACGAGCAATCCAGGAAGTAAGATGTTTCTCTGAGTTCTGTGAGTTACTCTAGCAAGTTAATAGAACCCAAGGAGGGGGTCCTGGGAACCTCTCTGATTTATAGCCAAAGGGTCAGAAGTACAGGTGACAACCTGGGTGCCAATCAGCATCTGAAGTGGGGGTGTAGGGGAGGCAGCCTTGTGGGCCCGAGCCCCTAACGGGTGAGGGTGAGATGGGATACTCCCTCTCAGCACCTGGTATTAGATTTGAATTGAATTGTAGGATATCCAGCTGGTGTCTGAGTATTGGTGATGCGGGGGGAAATCCCCATACATTGGAATTGGGTGTCAGAATCTTTATTTGCTATGTATGTTATGAGCAAACAATTTATCATATAGATTAGATGTCACGTTGAGTTTGGGTAGGAGACAGGCTGCAATGTTCCTAAAGTAACAAAATGGTAGACCTATGGAACCGAGGCCAACAACCAGTAAAATCACTCTTTTGACACTTAATGAAATGAGGATTTTCCATTTTGCCCGAGACACAATGGAAAAAAAGAGTAGGCACTGACCCAAATAAGTCAAAAGCTCTGTCTTATTGGCCTTTGAGTCTTTGTCCTAAAAAGTTGATGACAAGTAACTTGGAAAAAATGCCAATCATAAGACACAAGGGAGTGACTTTTGTCCCAGTAACTCTTTGTTTTTCTGAAAGTGAAAAACCGAATGACCCATGAGTTCCACATTAAGGGGTCTAAGAAATTGAAGTGAGTGGAACAGGGATTTGCTCTGAGCCAGCAGAGTGGCAAACACCAGTTCTTAGGACTGGTCATCGGTGGCTGCCTGGGGAGAGGAGCAGACCAAGTTAACTAACTGGTGGAGGACTTCTCTGTCCTTGGCCTCCCATGACCGCTGAAAGACCCTGTGTCCCTCAAGAGTCCACTTCAGGCCACCCAAGAGTGGAAGACGCCACTGGCTATAAAGCCCGTTTCTTCTGATTATTCCCCAACTGTCCCTTTGACCCTCTCCCAGATCTTGAAGAAAAAAGGAGACAGATGTGATTTAAAAGGAGAAATTTGCTAAATGAGAAATCACTGTTTTATATGATAGCAGGTACATTATTAGTGTTTGCAGATTAAATTATTGAATAGGAGGTACCGAAATGGAAGTGAATTTTTAAATTTCTCAGTGCCATACCTCCTTCATCTGAAGTTTCTAATCCCTTTACCAAAGGTAAAGAGAAGGGTAGTAGGCCTTTGCACTTGTCCCTCATAGACAAGGGAATAATGCGAGTACCCACGGCTCAGTCCCAGAGGCAGGTTGTCAGGAGCCCCAGACACATCATTGTCAGGTTGGTTAATCTGAGGATGATCAGCTGATTTTATTTTACTGTATTTGTCTTATTAACTCTATTGCCTACTGATAAATATCTCTGGCCCTGACTGATTTGTTGTCTTGCTGGGTAGACACTGATCAATAACGTACATAGAGGAAGTGTCTTCGGAAAGTCAGGCAATTGCTCTGATTAGAAATATTCTTCTCTAGCACTCCATGACCTCATTACTCATCTCTTCTGCAAAACTCATTAGAACAAACTCATTAGTTCATTTGACGATTTTAATATATAACAGATGTGGTAAAAATGTATTCTGCAAATAATGGAGTTCTTCCTCAGTTGAAGGGGGAATACGTTAATGTTTTTAAATTTCTTAATTGCTTTTCTCCCAGAAATTTCTCTTAAAACTATTAGTCTTCTGTTGTGAGTGAGCATTAACAGGCACCCAGATAACTGAACAAGAATAAATGAGTGTTAGTAGAAAGCACAGCCACTAACATCAAAACTGCTTTTTTTCCAGGAGCATGTGTGCTTGTGATTATAATTTTTGATTGCATGAATTTTCTCCTGAAAAAAAAAAAAGCAAAACAAAAAAAACAAAAAAATAACTTGTTCTTAGTTTGCAAGATGGGATTTAATCTAACAGTCATTCTTTGGTATTCTACAGATAGAACCATGGCTTCCAGGTGCTCTGATAGCCAACCAAAGTTATAAGCCTCAGCTCTGGGTCCTTGGGGATGATGGTAGACAGGCTTTACACACTAGATTTGGACCTGACACCAGGGTTAACTGAAGGGAAGAGAAAACCAAGTGGGCTTAGGCATACACACGTTACTTGCCTACTACCAGCAGGGCCTCCTCAGTGGGCACCCCTCAGCCAGGGAGAGTTGTGAGCTGGTCCCCCACATGGGAAGAATGTCCACATCTGGTTCCATAAAGATGCACAGTAAGAGTCCCTTGAGTCTGCAGTGCATCTTCTCCTGCCACAAAAAAAGGGAAGAATAGGAAGAAGGGGCCATAGTTTTATCTATGGCAACCCTACAACTCTTCCTATTTTCAGGAAATATGAAAGAACTCAAACATCCATACCTTGGCATCATAGGTGAATTGTTCATGTATCAGACTCTTAACACCCTAAGGGACAAGGTGAGCTAGTTTCTACAATCACGTTCATGGGATATTAGAGTTCTGAGAGGCCTTGAAAAGTCAGTTTTCACTGTAATCCTTTGCTTTATCCATCTCTCCTTCCTGTAGAGGGAGAAAAGTGTTCCCCACAATGGGCACTTTGCATACTACTTAACTATGAAGTAGGATTACCACACCACCTTGTGGCCAAAGTCTAAAAAATGGGAACACACACAAAAACAGCCCCTATTTGTTCCATTCTTACTTGGAAGGTAGAGTTTCTAGTAATAGTTCACTTTCTCATGACCACATAAAACACTTTTTGAGAATGCTGTTCCCTGTTTTATATATGCATATCATAAAAACAGTATGGACTGAAAAGAA